CACAAAACGAATAGTGGAAGTTGATGCTCATAACAATTTTACTTCCGATAGCTAAAATGAAACACTCTTCTTTTGGGGGCATTTCTTTCCTAAAGTACATACAACTTGAAAATTAAGAAAAGAAAGCTAGGAAAAAAAAAAGAAAGAAAGTCAAAAGGAAGGAAGTGAACAAAAGCCAAGGAGAAATGAATGATAAAAGCTATACACATCATGGTCAGAAAACCAAAAGTCCCAAACCCCACCCTTCCAATAAACCAACCCAGAGTCCCCTTTCTTCTACCGCATTTCCCTAAAATGAGAGATCCCACAGTGCTGCATGCAACACAGCCTCAAAGGCACCCAGTTCGGGCAGAGGTGGGGCTTACGGCCAAAGGAGAGATCCTGGGAGGTGTACGTAACTAACAGACAAGACAGTGTTCTTTACAGCTAGAAACAAAAAGGAGTGCTGCTGAATCACTTTTGCTGGTGATGGTCCCTGGGTTGGGAGATCTGGGGTGCAGGCCACTAGCCAGAGAGCTCACGTGGGTTCGAGTCCCTGGAGAACTAAACACAAAATTCCAGTAATATTTTAAGACACAAGCTCAGAAATAAAAAATGTCTAGCAAAAACAGTTGAGGGCAAAATGACTCTGGGGAGGGCATGAAGGATACAGAACGGAAGGCAGGATTATTATTTTTTTTTTTTTTTATTTTTTAGGTTTTTGCCATAGGACACTTACACTCACCAGAGAGAGACAGAGAAAGAGAAAGTGAGAAATCACCCCTCAGGGGGAATGGCCATGCCACAATCCCTTCTCCATTCTCTCGGATTCTGGGGACATATACATACACATCTGTTGTGATTTTCAAACCGCCAAGTCTGAGATTCAAACTGCTGTCAACCGTGTGGGAATCCAGTGCCTTAACCAGTATGCCACCTGCTGAGGCCCAGCAAATTTTTTTTTTAAGGATGCACCTGATAGTAACAGAACAATGGCTAAGTATTGGAGAATTCAACAAAAGGTGTCCCTGCAGAATCAGAAACAAGCTGCCCATTTCTGGATAATGGAAGCTGGAATCTACATATTAGGAGCCACAAAATGATCTGTTTCAATCCTGCAGATGCTGGTTATGAGAGGAAGAATAAAGGAAGGAGTGCCACAGAAATGGTGGGCTGTGTGAACATGACACAATGCCTGCACCGTGGACCACAGCGGGAACATATAACAGAGGGCCCTGGGAACTGCAGGTGAAACGAACAAGAAAAGGTGCATGGCGATCACAAGCAACAAAGGCACACTGGGGGCGTTAGGAAAGGAAAACATTTTTAAAATAAGGAGAACGATTAACTTAGAGAAACTGAAATAGGTGTGTGCTGGAGCCGACAGCAGGAAGGAATCACGGGACACTGCAACCTGGGTTCCCTGGATCTCATCCTGAATTGTATTTCATGTTCTCTGCAGTACAGCGAAGAACTGGGTCTCAGTTACGTCCAGCTCGAGGAGGAGGGGAGACGCTAGTATACTATCAGCTCTTAAGTCTTCTGAGGCAAACCCTGGGCCACAGCCAAACCCCAAAATAACTATATGAAAGCAATCCTTCTTACTCGTAACCAGGACATGGCACCAAGCAAACAAGAGGGGAAAACCAAATCCAGAAGGGAGGAAAATCAACAGAGAGACATTGGATACAGACCAAGAAAAGATCCTACCACGTTTTCAACACAAGTCTTCTTTCACGGAGAAAAGGTAGCCACCGTCTCTGTCCAGAAGCCTCCTACCTACCCAGCAAAGCTGAGAAAACCATTTTATGGTACTCAAGAAGGAAAACGTTTTGACATTTAGATGTTTTCCTTCCAGGGATGCACCAAGTCAAAATCCTACCTCTAGAAGGCCAGAATGGTGTTCTTAAAATGAGAGGTGGGCAAGAGGAAAAGATCTCCAAAATTGTCAGGATGACAAGAACTCCTGAATCCCTGTCTTCGTTCTCACACATCAAACATTTTGGTCACCCAACATAACTTACTTGGTACACAATAAAAAAGATTTATTAGAACCAGCAGGTGGTATAATGGTTATGTCCCTGGACTCCCACATGGCCCATCATGGTTTAAGTCCTGTACCCAGCAGCTTGAAACTCACACCAAGTGCATGAGCGTGCATGCCCAAGAATGGAGGAGAAGGGATTAAGGCATGGCTATCCACTCTGGGGAGTGATTTCTCGCTTTCTGTCTCTGTGGTGAGCATACATGGCCTATAGCAAAAATCTCTCTCTCTCAAAAAAAAAAACTTGAATAGACTACTATATGGCAGTGAAGAAGACTGCATTATCATTATCACTATTTCTATACACAAGAATATGGATGACCCTCACTGATACAAACTTGAGAAAAATAATACATATCCGAGGAGTATATGTAATTACCTCTGCATACAGGATGGAGGAGAAGGAAATACATGCATAAAGATCCTAGGAAACTTTGTAGGTGTTGGAAACGTTCTGTCTTTGACTGGGAAGTTTTTACATGTTGTACACATATATAAATATTCTCTGAGTTATAAACTGAAGATTAGTGTGCTTTTGGCACTTTGCGAATGTCACACCTCAGTAATCACAATGATGAAGCCAGTCTGTGAGAAAATGCCTAATTTCAGGTCTGGGCTATGGAAGTACAAGGTAAACAATTAACAAGTTAAACCAGAAATCAAGGAAGCACTGAAATACAAAGGGGGACATGCCAGATCAACATGGGAGCCAGCTTGAGGGAGTCACACCAGCCACATTTGCAACAACTCAAGAACTGAAACTCAAAATTACTCCAATTGTGACATGTTGAATCAATAGAAACCTGAAAGCAAAAGGGAAGGATATCTACTTCTTACAAAAATAATAATAATAATAATAATAAATACTAGCATCCTCAGAAAGATGTTCCCCAGTCCCTATTATTCTCTGCCACTCATCCTCTCATGGTCTCAGTTTTCTTGATAGAACTTACCATCGTTTGACATTATACTACAAAGTCTGTTCATTTTCCTAATTAGTCTGATTTGCCTCTCTCCCCAAATAGAATACAAGTACCATGAAGGCAGGGATTTTGTCCAGGTCTTTGATGGATGGCAAGGCCTAAAACATCATCTGTCACATGATAGGCACTTGATAAATAATTACTGAATGAATAAGCGGGGAAAAAAGAGAATTATAAGCCATAACACCATATCTACAAGATGCCGACTTAAAGCTGACCTGTGCACTTTTTGCAATGATGTACCACTCTGGGTTATGTGCTCTTGTCTGTGTTCTTGTTTCCCTTAATCTCCTCTGCTAAATGAGACTATTGGTTCCTGGAGGGCAGGCTCTAAGTACCTTAATGCCCCTGCCTAGAGGGGGAGGCCCACACAGAGCCCAGAGGATCTGTGATTAGGACGGTGCCCAGGACCATTATTACAGTTTCGTACTTTTTTTTTCCTGATTGTTCATAATCAGTAATGGCTCAGTCTGACCATGGCTCTTCTACTTCCGTCTCAAAGATTTTCCCACTTTGTATCTTGGAGCTGTTTTCAAGTCTCCATAACTGGTCTTACCAGGTAACCATCACCTAGCAGAACTGATCCAGAAATAAACTCCTGTGACTGGCTACACTGCCTCCCTCTACAGCACCACAAACAAACTCTAGGTTCCCAGCTGCCAAAGCATTGCACATTGTTTAATCTGGTGTGGTTTTCTTGTCTGCTCCCTAGGTAGGGTCCTAAGGGTTTTACCCTCTTGTGTTTGACTTGCTGTCAATCTCTGAGATTCCAATGATCCATCACTGGTCCAGGGAGCCGGGAAGGTCATCTGTGTTCATAAGGGACTCCCTAGCTGGAAATCAAGAACTGCGTGGAGGACTCCCTAACCACTATCTCCCGCTAGGAGGACTAGAAGGTCTCCCAGCACTCTGGAATGCAGTGATAACAGGCTAGGTGACACCCTACAGGTCCAAGGGAGTAGTTGTGTCTGCACTGAGAGGACCCAACCCCAAAGCTGTGCTTTTCCAGGTGGATGTCCGTCCTATAGCTGTCAGTTCTCAGAATGTGCGTCCCTTTGTCAGAGAGCTCACGCACTCCCCGTTTAATAGCGTCTGTTAGCGCACCAAACCCGCAGTCACTGCATTACGCTGGCCCAACCAGTGACTGAAACCCAACTGGTTCCCATGAAAACTGCCTTCTTCAGCTCCCTGGGACTCCTGCAGGACCTAATAAAACTCTGTCTCAGCTTGGAGAGCTATCGAATATGCTGGGTCTCGCCATCTCTAGTGACTTTTCTTTGCATAGCCCCTCAAAAGCCAGAACAGCCAGAAAGCTTAATGTCCCCCAAATCATGGATGTCTGGCCCTTAACTCATTACTGGCAGGTCACACCAGGACTTGGAATAGTTACGAAGCAGTTACTGATGACAAGGAGAACCCAGCACAGCATTATAAACTATAATGCTGTACTTTCACGGAGCCACCACCCTCCTCAATCTCTCTGCTTCCCTCTGGCCTCTCTCACAGCTGTGTTGCAAACAAAAAGGGGGCTCCTCCTAGTAGAAATTGGGCCAAAATCCGCCACTGTCCCAGCTGCAAAGAAAGGTTTGTTAGGGCTCTTTCCAACCAGATAGTCACACACCTGAAACACATCCATCTGAGAATCAGACGGTATCAAAGTATCTCAGGGAGGATGAATTCTTGAGTAGACACCTTGAATCTCAGGACCAAACCCAAGAGTCCCACAGCTCTTAGTGACAGCTTTCTTTGGGTCGCCCTCCTATAGCTATGGCTCATGAACGCGACAGTGGAGCAGGGGAGCTCAATTACTTTCCCTACCTTCCAGCTCCGGCTTCATCGAGTATAGCTGCTCTGGTTGGGTACCCCCAGAGAGCACTGGAGAGAAGCGAAATGGAAAACCAAGGGACAGGAATGAGGAAGGAAGACGCGCAAGAGATAATAGAGTGCCATGGCTGCTGAGAGGCGAGGGTGCAGAAGTAGAACTCAGTACTTACCCCAGCCAGGAGGGAGGGGGCCCAGGGGGTCATGGTCAGTCGAAGTACTCGAAGACTAAACACAAGAAACATAGCAGAACACAAAGGTTAAAAAAAGCCACCAATTAGAAAGAGGTCACCTGATGAAAATGAAAACGCCAAGGAGTCTTTAGCATTTTAGCACGTTGTAGAGGATGCTGTGGGACCTTAGGTGGCAGCTGCTTCTCTCAAAAGTCTTTAAAAAAAAGAAAAAAAAAGTAGAAGAAAAGAAAAACCAAAAACAACCCTGCACAGGGATGGCCCAAGTAAGTTCTGGAAAGGGCAGAGCTAGGGGGAGGAAAAGGTGCACTGAGGAAGGCAGGCCAGGGCGGCTAGGACAGGCAGCCAGCCTGGCATGGCAGGAGGGCTGGGTGCAGGCTCCCAGCAGGCTGGGCCCAGCGCCTCTGCTCGCGGCGGCCAAGACGACTGAAATCACCACCACCTCCAACTTTCTCCAAGAACCACACGCAGGAGGGGAAAAAATATCGCAGGCCTTTCCAATGAAATCATTCCCACAAGCCTGCCCACGCCCAGTGCTTCCTGGCTGGGGCTGGGCCCTCCCCCTCCACCTCGACAGCCTCCACCCCTCCTCCCTTCTGGGTGTACAGCACCCACCCAGACTGAGGGCACATTCATGCGGAGCCCCTCACCTCCCCCAGGAATGTTTCCTTTCCCTTCACAAAGCACCTTTATTCTTCCCCTGCCTGGACCTGAAGTTGTTCAGTGTTCTACGTTTGCCTGTCTGGAGAGGTGGGGCTGGGGGCAGGGTGGCAAAAGAGAAGGGGAGACAGGAGAAAGAAGGGGGTAACCAACTCAAGGTTGCTGTTTACATTAGAATCCACTCCACCCCCAAATTAATTCTGCCTTCAGGTCTCCAGGGAAGGGTTGCAGCGGACCGAGAGTTCTCATATCCTGCAGGGAAGGGGGTGCTGTCAAAAACTTTTTGTAGTTAAATAAAACAAGAATTGTTCAACTCTTTCTGTCTTTTTTTTTTCCCCCACAGCATTTTTATTTCACTTACTAAAATTTAATCGTTATATTAGGGGATCAAGTTCTAAATGCAGACTTCAGGCCGCTGGGCTGGCCCGTCTGAGGGTGACGGAGCCACACACGGGCAGCAAGATGAATGGTGCTCAGTCTCAGCTTGAGAAAACACTGGAGGGACTCAACTGCCAGCAAACCCCCTCTCACAGCACACCCCACCCTCCCGCCCCATCCCCAGCTAAAAGGACAGAGAAACTTTATTTCCAAGGTGGCAACACAGGCTTCTCTTCCAAGCAAGTTCTAACAAAGATGTCTTGAAAACTTAGGTTCCTTGATAGGACAGAGCCCCCTTCAGAGAAGGCTCTCCTACTCCCAGAGACGGACACTGCAGGAAGGTGAGGGGAAGCGTCCTTGACTTAGGGCACTTTATAGGCAGTCTCCGGGACATGCTTGAAATCTCTATCACAATTCAGATTTGTCTAATCATTACTGAAAAATATCACCTGAATGCACGGGAGTCATTTTGGTGGGTGTATGTATGTGCTGAGAGAGAGGGCTATTGATAAAATCCAAGTTCCTCCAATTTTGTTTTGTAGGTAGTATACAATAACAGTCCATAAAAACATTTGTTAGCAGAAGTAAAGAACAGATGTGAAAGCACACATATGTCAGATAATGAAGCCAAACAGAATGTACTTGGTATGCATGGAGCCTAGGCAAAAGGGAAGACCTACAGAAAAGGTTATTTTAAAGAAGAAAGAAAGCTCTGGTGCAAACTTGTTTCCCCCTTCCTATCTTCCCTCAGAACGAGTAATCTAAAAAGCATTCGGGGTTCTGATGGAAATGAACCAGCAGCTGGTACCAACCAGGCTAGAGTGGACTTACAGTCATCTTTTGCTTATCCCTACAAATCGGCAGACACAAAGTCTTTACTGACCGCCTCCAAGACCAGCATGGAACTAGGAATAAAAAAAAACAGTTACTGGGCCAGCAGATGGAGTGGAAGTTAGGGTGCTGCATCTCGCATGGCCACTGCACAGTTCAAATCCCAAACTTGGCAGCTTGAAAATCATGCCATGTATGTGTGCGTATGTATGTGTGTGCCCAAAATCCCAAGAGGAGAATGGAGGAGGAGTGATTGTGGCATGGCCAACCCCCCTTGCTTCCCTCTCTGGCAAGCACACATGCCCTACAGCACACTAAAAATCAAAAAACATTTATCAGTTCTCTTCTCAACCCTTCCCTCTATCTATCTATTTATTTATTTTTAATATCTCAAACTTCCTACCATGTTGGCTCTTTTGTTATTTTGTTTATTTGTTTCTAATTTCTTTGGCAGAGCCAGCAGGTGGTGCAGTGGTTAAGGTGCTGGACTCCAACATGGCAGACAGCAATCTGATTCCATGTTCCGGTGGCTTGTGTGTGCCTATCTACATTGGGTGCATGTGTGTGTCCAAATCCCAGGAGGTGAAGGAATTCTAGCGTGGCTATCCACCCAAGGGTGATTTCTCACTTGCCCTCTCACTGTCCCTCTGGCAAGTGCATATGGCCAATGGCAAAAACCTTTAAAAAAAAAATTTCCTTGGCATCCAATCCCTTCCCACAACAACTTGAAGAAAGGGGAGAAGAGAAGAAGCAGACAGGAAAGCAAGCGAGACCAGAGATTAACAAACACAAGTATTACACAAAACGAATAGTGGAAGTTGATGCTCATAACAATTTTACTTCCGATAGCTAAAATGAAACACTCTTCTTTTGGGGGCATTTCTTTCCTAAAGTACATACAACTTGAAAATTAAGAAAAGAAAGCTAGGAAAAAAAAAAGAAAGAAAGTCAAAAGGAAGGAAGTGAACAAAAGCCAAGGAGAAATGAATGATAAAAGCTATACACATCATGGTCAGAAAACCAAAAGTCCCAAACCCCACCCTTCCAATAAACCAACCCAGAGTCCCCTTTCTTCTACCGCATTTCCCTAAAATGAGAGATCCCACAGTGCTGCATGCAACACAGCCTCAAAGGCACCCAGTTCGGGCAGAGGTGGGGCTTACGGCCAAAGGAGAGATCCTGGGAGGTGTACGTAACTAACAGACAAGACAGTGTTCTTTACAGCTAGAAACAAAAAGGAGTGCTGCTGAATCACTTTTGCTGGTGATGGTCCCTGGGTTGGGAGATCTGGGGTGCAGGCCACTAGCCAGAGAGCTCACGTGGGTTCGAGTCCCTGGAGAACTAAACACAAAATTCCAGTAATATTTTAAGACACAAGCTCAGAAATAAAAAATGTCTAGCAAAAACAGTTGAGGGCAAAATGACTCTGGGGAGGGCATGAAGGATACAGAACGGAAGGCAGGATTATTATTTTTTTTTTTTTTTATTTTTTAGGTTTTTGCCATAGGACACTTACACTCACCAGAGAGAGACAGAGAAAGAGAAAGTGAGAAATCACCCCTCAGGGGGAATGGCCATGCCACAATCCCTTCTCCATTCTCTCGGATTCTGGGGACATATACATACACATCTGTTGTGATTTTCAAACCGCCAAGTCTGAGATTCAAACTGCTGTCAACCGTGTGGGAATCCAGTGCCTTAACCAGTATGCCACCTGCTGAGGCCCAGCAAATTTTTTTTTTAAGGATGCACCTGATAGTAACAGAACAATGGCTAAGTATTGGAGAATTCAACAAAAGGTGTCCCTGCAGAATCAGAAACAAGCTGCCCATTTCTGGATAATGGAAGCTGGAATCTACATATTAGGAGCCACAAAATGATCTGTTTCAATCCTGCAGATGCTGGTTATGAGAGGAAGAATAAAGGAAGGAGTGCCACAGAAATGGTGGGCTGTGTGAACATGACACAATGCCTGCACCGTGGACCACAGCGGGAACATATAACAGAGGGCCCTGGGAACTGCAGGTGAAACGAACAAGAAAAGGTGCATGGCGATCACAAGCAACAAAGGCACACTGGGGGCGTTAGGAAAGGAAAACATTTTTAAAATAAGGAGAACGATTAACTTAGAGAAACTGAAATAGGTGTGTGCTGGAGCCGACAGCAGGAAGGAATCACGGGACACTGCAACCTGGGTTCCCTGGATCTCATCCTGAATTGTATTTCATGTTCTCTGCAGTACAGCGAAGAACTGGGTCTCAGTTACGTCCAGCTCGAGGAGGAGGGGAGACGCTAGTATACTATCAGCTCTTAAGTCTTCTGAGGCAAACCCTGGGCCACAGCCAAACCCCAAAATAACTATATGAAAGCAATCCTTCTTACTCGTAACCAGGACATGGCACCAAGCAAACAAGAGGGGAAAACCAAATCCAGAAGGGAGGAAAATCAACAGAGAGACATTGGATACAGACCAAGAAAAGATCCTACCACGTTTTCAACACAAGTCTTCTTTCACGGAGAAAAGGTAGCCACCGTCTCTGTCCAGAAGCCTCCTACCTACCCAGCAAAGCTGAGAAAACCATTTTATGGTACTCAAGAAGGAAAACGTTTTGACATTTAGATGTTTTCCTTCCAGGGATGCACCAAGTCAAAATCCTACCTCTAGAAGGCCAGAATGGTGTTCTTAAAATGAGAGGTGGGCAAGAGGAAAAGATCTCCAAAATTGTCAGGATGACAAGAACTCCTGAATCCCTGTCTTCGTTCTCACACATCAAACATTTTGGTCACCCAACATAACTTACTTGGTACACAATAAAAAAGATTTATTAGAACCAGCAGGTGGTATAATGGTTATGTCCCTGGACTCCCACATGGCCCATCATGGTTTAAGTCCTGTACCCAGCAGCTTGAAACTCACACCAAGTGCATGAGCGTGCATGCCCAAGAATGGAGGAGAAGGGATTAAGGCATGGCTATCCACTCTGGGGAGTGATTTCTCGCTTTCTGTCTCTGTGGTGAGCATACATGGCCTATAGCAAAAATCTCTCTCTCAAAAAAAAAAAAAAAAAAAAAGAGGGACCAGCAGTTAGCATAATGGCTATGTTGCTGAACTCCCATGTAGTCGACCATAGTTTGAGTCCCGGACCCGATGGCTTAAACTCACGCCGGGTGTGTGTGTGTGCGTGCCCAAGATCCTGAGAGGAGAATGGAGGAGAAGGGACTGCAGCGTGGCCATCCCCCCTGGGGGGTGATTTCTTGCTTTCTGTCTCTCTGTCTCTCTCTGTCTTCCTGTTGAGTGCATGTGCCCTACAGCAAAAACCTCTCCAAAAAAAAAAAAGAAAGAAAAAAAAGATTTCTTTAGTAGTTTATTTGTTGTTTTTGTTTTTGTTTTTTGAGAGAGAGAGTGAGACATTGATTATTCAAATAGACAAAACTATGTCAAACTCCTAAAATGTATCCTTGTCTCTAAGTCAAAGGACAGACAAGTCAAAGAAGAAAGATGCCTAGACCTACCCAGTTTTGCAACCCTGACCACTCAGGAAAATGGCAGGCAAAGTCTTCAGGGCTAAGCTCAAGAAGAACAATCTCTGAAATGCAGAGAATGGCCAGATTCCATCCAGTTTTGAAACATTCCAACGGTAGATGCCAGGCATGTGTGAAGGGGTGGAAGGGTGGGAAGTCCGGCATAAGAATGTTCACAGTGCCCTGCCGGGCAAGACCACGGATGGTCCAGATTTGTTTCAATTTGCAAACTCCAGCTACCTCCTTTCGTTACTGTGGGAGGGACAAAGGGGAAATAAAGGAAGAGGAACTGTGAAAATGGTAGGCTCTGTGATCAGGACACAACATGCATGACTGTGCAGATATGTATGCTGCGTGGACCACAGAACACAAAACAGAGGACCAGGGGAAATGCAAGGGTGAAGCAAACAGGCAAGAAAAAGTGTAAAATGATCCTAACAACAAAGGCACCCTGGGACATTAGGAAATGGGTTGTAGACTGGCATGACAACAGACCTGGGGGCAACAACATGACAGCCATCACACTTTCTGCTCGTCCACACTTTAGAATGAGCAATCAGCCCCACACACAGAATAAAGGACAAGCTAGCCAAGGGAGGTGCTATAGCGACTTCCGGTTGATGACGTGGCTCCTGCTTGGGGTGAGCAAGGAAAGATGAACAGAGGAAGGCCAAGGCAATAACAAACGCTACTTAATTAAACAGAGTTAATGATTTTCTGAGCATCTAATTAGGGTGGTATCCAACTTAGAAAGGGGTTGTGGGGTTACAATTCATTTCGGATATTAAGAGCGTTATACATGGTGACTGAGCATCGTGGTCCACTCCAAGCATTTCTGGCCTGCGGCACACCACCACGTCCTATGCTGCTTCCACAGTGGATCTCGACCTTCATGTTTCAGGAGCTCTGCAGACATGTCAGCTCTCACCCTGGGGATCCTCCTAGCTGGGCTCCCCCAGTTTCAGGTCACAGGGCTGGGATCTTATGGGATGGAAAGATCAGGAAATGGGCCTGGGTGAGTTCCTCAAGGAACACAGTATGGTCTGAGACCACGAGACAGTTAATATGGGACCAGAGCATCCTGAATTCTGGACTAGAACATTTACATGTCATTCTATAGGTAATGGCGACGAGAGGATTTTTAGTCAGTAAAGTGACATAATGACAGTAATGTTTGAAGACTGCTTTTGTGGGCATAGGCAACACAGATTGGAAGAGAAGGAACACTAGCAGAAAGAATAACCGAAAGACTATGTGAACAGTTTAGATGGAAGGGACACTGGACAATAAAGAATCAGGGTGGAAGGAGGTTGATCTAAACCAGGAGTTGGTCAACATTTCCTCCAAAGAGCCAGACATGAAATATTTAGACTTGGGGCCAGTCAGTAGCATGGTGGCTAAGGTGGCTGGATCCTACATAGCTGACAACGCTGTTCGAGTCCCAGATGCAGCAGCTTGGAAAACACACTGGACACATGTGCATGTGAGTTCAAAATCCCAGAAGAAGAAAAGATTATGGTACGGCTATCCCTCCTGGTGTGTGTGTGTGTGTGTGCTCTTTCTCTGTTTCTCTCCAGCAAGCATGCAAGCCAAAAAAAAAAAAAAAAAAAAGGCTTTGCGGGCCATATTATATTAACTCTACAGTGGAGGCATGAAAGCAGCCACGGTCAGCAGGTTTGGCCCATGAACTACTGCTTGTCAATCCCTAATCTAGATGAGCTTTAAAGGTCCCTCATTCTTGAGAATCTGTCAGATACTAAAGAGCTGAAAACGAGTATTAACAGTGACGGAAAGAGAAGGACTTGGGTGAGTGCTTTGATCTAGAGAGGTGAGGCATGGGAGAAGTCAAAGCTAACCTTCAGGTTTCAAATCAGGAAACAAGGATTTAAATGGAAGGAGAAAAAAAAAGGCATCTTGGAACAATGGTGAATTCAGTTTCGGACATTTTGATTCTTAACCACAGAGGCTAGCCGTGGACTTACTAAGTTAGAAAATGGAATTTGAAGAATTTCACTGTGATGAGTAAAATCTCCAAGGTCAGAGAACTGATGCTACACCATTTTCCCTGGTGAACACGCAGTCAACAGAGAATGTGTGAGGCTGCACATTCTAAGATACAGGGAGGTTCCCTCCCGCCACCCTCTCACCTGATAGAGGAATCTTTGGCTGAAGTGCTGCATGGCTCCCTGGAGCTGGTTGCGTTGTGACTGCCACTGCTCGTAGTTCCGCACGTACTCGGCCGTGGGGCGCTGCCAGGTGGTGGTCCTAGTGTTGTGGTCCACATAGTAAAATCTGCCTCGGGGATCTGTGCGTTTCTCCCAGCTGGAAATTGGAAGTTCCAAGACAAAATAGTGATCGCTGCATCTCTATCCCAAATTCTAGAAAAATTTCATGATGCCTGGCAAGGAAGGACTGAGTGGCCAAAGTGTAATATCTGGCATAGGAGCGTGGCTGCTTCAGGGATGCACATTTGAACAGACCCCAATCACAGAAGCTTCTGGGCTTAGATGATCAGAGAAGACATTTGTGATCACTTTTTTTTTTTTTTTTTTGAGACGTTTTCGCTATAGGGCACGTGTGCTCGCCAGACAGAGAGAGACACAGACAGAAAGTGAGAAATCACCTCCCAGGGGGGATGGTCACGCCGCAATCCCTTCTCCTCCATTCTCCTCTCGGGATCTTGGGCATCATTGGAACGTGCCCCAATCACAGAAGCGTCGGGGCTTAGATGATCAGAGAAGACATTTGTGATCCCTTTTTTTTTTTTTTTTTTGAGACGTTTTCGCTATAGGGCACGTGTGCTCGCCAGACAGAGAGAGACACAGACAGAAAGTGAGAAATCACCTCCCAGGGGGGATGGTCACGCCGCAATCCCTTCTCCTCCATTCTCCTCTCGGGATCTTGGGCACGCACGCACACGCGCCCGGCGTGAGTTTTAAGCCACCGGGTCCGGGACATGAACCGCGGTCGACTAGGTGGGAGTCCAGCGACACAGCCATTACGCTAACTGCTGGTTCCCCCCTTGTGATCACTTTTGATTTCCTTTTTAAGGGATACATGAAGTCCTGGGGTGGTGACTCTGTAACCAATCCCAGAGCTGAAGGCTTGACTCGTCCGAGAGTAGGTATGGGATCTATGCTGGCTGGGCTGAGGCGTGAATCGCAGAACTTTGGGCTAGGAATTACAGGAAAAATAAAGTTTCTCATCCTTGCTGAACACGACAGAAAGCACGCAGTGCTGGGAGCTACTGGCTACCATGTTGAACCCAAACACAATATTAAGCGGACACACTGAATGGTAGAATAGAAAAATGAAAGCCAGCCACTTGGTGATATTGTTGAACTGCTAGATCAAGCTTCACTTGATGCCAAAATTTACAGCTAGAATTTTTCAGTTATATGAGCCAATAATTTTTCTTCATTATTTAAGACAATTTCAATCTCCTGATTTATGATGCCAATGAAAATATATTGCATTGCTATGAAAAGAAGAGTTGGTCTGAGCAACAGCAGGACTCTCCAAAATACCTTTAGTGAGGAAGCAACCTTTCCAAAGTTGGGCCTGAAACATTCATAGGCAAGTCAGGGCTAGAACAGAAGGCAAAAGTCCTTGGCTGTGCTTGGTAGCTTGACTGGCGCAACTTGATTTCCACATACCCAAGGAAGAAGTGACTAAAAAATAAAATAGTAGGAGGAGGAGCTTTCTAGGGTGATGGAAGTTTTCTATATCCTGACGGGTATGAGTTATCCAACTGTATGTACTTGTCGGAACTCACGAGGACTGTACAGCTGGGAATTATACCACGGCGTTAAAAGTGATGTTGAACCTAATCAAGCCTCCATGTCTACCTACCTATTTATAGTAAAGACAAGGGTTACAATCAGCCATATCCAGAATACAAGAGATTCTTCAAGATAAATTCTCAGGTTATTCAACAAATAAGTGGCTTTAAAAAATAAATACATGAAAAAGGACAGGGGAATTTACAGATTAAAAGAGACTTAAGAGACAGATCAGGCAAAGGCAATGTGCTGACCCTGGGTTTGGATCTGATTTTAAGACAACTGGGAGCAGGCGAATATGGGCTGGGTAAGACATGACATAAGGATATATGAGCAATTGTGATGGGTGGGACAATGGTATTATAGTTATGTTTTTTATTAAAAAAAAGAAAGAAAGAAAAAGACCCTTAAAGATTACTGCATGTCTGTTCCCAAACCCAGAGATGAATGCTTGACAGGACCAAGAGTGGGCATGTGATTTGGAACCTTCCCACTTTTAGTCTTTTTAAGGTTTTTACACTCACAGGAGAGAAATAAGAGAGACTGATAGAGAGTGAGAAATCACCTCCCAGGATGGACAGCCACACCGCAATCCCTTCTCTTCCATTCTCTCAGGATTATGGGCATATGTGCGCACGAGCCCAGCATGATTTTCAAGCCACTGGGTCCAGGACTCAAACTGCAGTGAGCCATGTAGGAATTCAGTGCCTAAACTACCACATCACCTGCTAGCCCCTAACCTCGTCATTTTTACTCACTTTTTATTTGTTATCAAAGAAGTGACGTTATTTTTGAAATGCAAATAGAACTACCGGGATCAACATGAAAAGCAGTGGTTTCTGTACCACTGTAGACTCCTTTCCCCCAGGGGCAACTACCCTCAACTGCTTCTTCTACTATACACATCTGTAAACAATACATCTATCCCATTCTTTCCTGATTTTTGCTATCTTTGATATTACTCATGGACTCTCCACTAGCAAAGCTGAGGATTTACTTACTATGTTCAACCCTCCAACACACACACACCGTCTCCTCTCATCATCCCAATGTGGAAAATCATTAAATCAATATTCAGAGTTCATATAATGACGATATAGAACACAACAAATATATCTTCTTTCTTGAACAACTCCTTTGTTTCTGGAAGAATCACCTTGTTTCTGTCTAGGTCTTCAATAGCCTATCACTGATTTGCCCCAGATCCTCTGACAGAACAGGTGGCATTAATGCCCCAGCCACGCCTCTCCCACACTTTCATCTGCTGTGGACAGTCGAGTTGTATGAATACATTTCAACTGCTCTACATTATTGTCCTGAGTTCTGTTCCTTGCTCTTCCTCCTAGGAACGTGCATGGCTTCTGGGTTGAGTTTCAGTGCCCTGTATTCCATGTCTTCTTTCTTGCCTTCTCTCGCTTGGCGGAATAAATCATCTAGAAGCTTCTCAGAAGACATACACCAAACTTCTTTGAGAGCCAGCATGTCTGACAATGCCTTTAATTTATTTATCTTTCTTTCTTTCTTTTTTAAAAGTTTTTACTATATGCACTTGCCAGAGATAAAGAGGGAAAGTGAGGAGTCATCCCCTCAGAAAGGATGGCTATACCACAATCCCTTCTCCTCCAATCTACTCTCAGGATTCTGAGCACAACTAGATGGTCTGGGACTTGAACTGTGGTCTGGACATGTAGGATCCAGTGCCTTAACCGCAAAGCCACCTGCTGGCCCAAAGGTAACTTTATTTCTACTTTCACACTTGCATGTTAAAATGACTAAACATGGGCCAGCCCTATAGCACAGGAGTTAATTGTTATGTATAGGGAGCCAGATCCCATTAGCCAGCCACGGTTCTAATCCTGGCCCTAGGTGCAGGTACATAGATTCCCAAAATCCTTTATAAGGATAGAGAAAGTGGGAACCAGCAGTTAGCGTAATGGCTATGTCGCTGAACTCCCACGTAGTTGACCGAGGTTCACGTCCCGGACCCGGTGGCTTAAAACTCACGCCGGGTGCGTGTACGTGCGTGCCCAAGATCCCAAGAGGAGAATGGAGGAGAAGGGATTGCAGCGTGACCATCCCCTGGGGGGTGATTTCCCGCTTTCTGTCTCTATGTCTCTCTCTGTCTGTCTGGCGAGCGCACGCACCCTATAGCGAAAAACCTCTCCAAAAAAAAAAAGGATAGAGAAAGTGAAAAAGTGATTGTGGTGTGACCACACCACATTGGGGGTGCTTGCTCTCTCTCTCTCTCTCTCTCTCTCTCTGGTAAGTAAATGTGCCATCTAGTAATTAAAAATAAAAGTTGAGGCCAGTAGATGGTGCAGCTGTTCATTGCTGGACTCCCACAGAGTCAACCACAGATCAAGTCCTAGACCCAGAGGCTTAAAACTCATGCTGGGTGCGTGTATTTATGTGCCCCAAATCCCGAGAGGAAAATGGAGGAGAAGGGATTGCAGTGTGGCCATCCCCGCAAGGGGGTGATTTCTTGCTTTCTGTCTCTGCTTCTCCAGCAAGTACACACACCCTATAGCAAAAATCTCTCCAAAAAAGTAAAGACTAATAGTTAATCTGAAAGTAGATCTCGGGACAGCAAATCATTTTCCATCAGACTTGCGAAGGTCCTGCTTTACGGCTGTTATCGAGAAGGATGGCACTCTTGAGCCCTGATGCTCTCTAGCTCCCCTGTTAATTCCCTTTGGATGTTTTTGAGATCTTTTCTTGGCACGCTGAAATCCCATTAGATGTGCCTTGTGTGGGTCTTTTTTCATTCTCTGGGATATGGTAGGCTCTCTAAGTCTGTAGACAATATACTTCAGTTCTGGCAATTTTCTTCTCCTATCCTGTTTCTGTTCTTGCTAGAACCACTATTCACATACTGGACCACCTGTACCCATTTTCTTACATTCTTATCTCTAAATTGATCTTTGAGCTATTCTAATTAATTAACTTTTTAAAATTACTGTTGTCATGTATATTCATTTCTAAAAGTTCTTGTTTTCTGAGTTCATTTCACAGTTTGCTGTTCTTCTTGCACAAATGCTGTTTTCTCCCAAACATTTGATGATATAAATTAGAATTTGTTTTTCCTTTCTCAGGTTTTCTCCAGATCCCTATCACTGCTTTCACCACATCCCTTTTTTTCTGTTTGCTTATTCACATTTACGAGTGAGCCTTGAAATACTGAGTGCTCTGTGCACCCAAGTGGAGGCTGCTGGCCAGAGCTTCACTGCAGTGACCAGGCGGAGGCTCAGCTGTTTCACTAGAGGTCCCCAAATATCACAATCTGTTATTCTTATCCCCAGCAAAAGAACTCGCAAGCCTTTAGCCTGAGGACCAGAGATGGCATTTCCACTTCACCTCTTTTTCTGAGTTTCTTCCTGCCTACAGGTATGGTCTGTGTCCTCAAAGCTGGTCCCACTCTCTTGGGAGCTTCTCAGGATCAACAGCAGTCATGTGGCTGTGTGTGCACACACATGTGCATGCACACACATACATGAATGGCAGAGAAATAAGAGTGGCAGTTGGCTGCCTGGGACTCTAACTGCTCCCTGAAAAAATTTCCAACTGAGCTTCAGGTTTTTATCTCGATCCACACCCGTCCTCAGGGTCCCCACTCATTGATGCTTTCCAGGGCTCTGTGGTGCAAGTTGGCCAGATTCCTGATGGAGACTGCATCCTGGAGGTGGGTTTGACAGAGCTCTGCCATTGGTCAGCAACTACACTCTGACTGGCATCCATATGCCGTTTCTTCTCTACCATTCCTTTATTGCTGATGGCTTATGCTTTTTAAAAAATACTTTTATCGCCCTTTTAATAGGTTTTCAGGACAAAGGAAAATTAACACATGCTCAATCCGCATGTTTACCTAGAAGTCCTCTGTCAGGGTGAATTTCAAACGTCCCACCCTTTATTTCAATAGATGAAATCTTATGCAGAATTGCAATATACAAAAACACAACGGAAGTCGGATGCCCTCTTTGGTACCAGTGGCATCTCCATGAAACCTGGGGTCCTCTCAGCACACAAGGTGAGCATGCTTGTTTCATACCAACCTTTCACATCAACAAAACTGCTGAGGGAG